TTACTAGATTTACAAGTATGTATTTCTTATAGTAATACAAACATGATATTGAATTTACTTGCTCATAAACGGTTATCACTGTAGTTAAGCATTGCATGTAAAACTGCCAACTTTAGGTAGAAAGTTCTACTGATGCAAGATGCAGAGTTTCACCTCTATATTAACTTTTTCTTAGCTGTTCAGTAGTTTATTTTCAGAATCATGCTGACACATTCTGACATTTGAGTGGTTTGATTTTATTTGATGTATTACCCTTTTTAAAAAATAGGATACATGCCAAACATCTCTATGAACTTCAGTGTTTCTAGGATAGAATTATTAATTAGATATAGTTCTTCATTTGAAAAATAAGTTTACTGGATTGTACTGATTGGAGTGTGAATTAATTTAATGTATGTAGTCTGAAATAGAGGAATCATCAAATGCAGTTAAATTTGTATGTTCTTTTCTCTATTTCTTAAAGCTCATGCCCCTATTTAGAGACTTTTTTCTCCCCAGGCTAAGAAGATTTCTGCCTTTTTAATTTTGCCTTTGTGAGCATGTTGCAAATATTCTACCTCACTCTGTTCTTCAGGTCCATTGTAGTAGAGCCAATTCTTTGTTTCTCTGCTTCTCACCTGTTTCTGTCTATTTATTTGTGTGTAAGATGTCAAAGGAAAATGAAAAGTAACACCTCCAAATACCACCTTGAAAGAGAAAATGCCAACAAATTCTTTTCTGCACCTGAAGCTTTTAATTCTTTAATCCACCATGGAATGTTGCTTAATTACATATTTTATTATGCATAACTGAAAATTATGTACTTTAGTTTCAACAATGATATGAAAGCACTTATTGTTTATAAATAAAGAGCGGCTGGCTTGTCTCTATTTTTTTTGTTACAAATATTTGTGGAATTCTCAAAGGTTCTCTTTCTAAAATTGGCTTTTTGAAAATTCTCAGAGAGACCCAAGAAAAACTTCAAGTTTTAATACTTTCTTCGGAAACCAGAAAATTCATTACTTTGCAAAAGCAAGACAGTGTCACGTCATTATGGGAAAAAGCCATTGAATAGTTTGGATATTTTCATGTTTCACCACAATTTTAACAAGCTTCACAAAGTATTTATCAATGGAAAAATGTTACAGTGGTTGAACTAGGTGATGAACCCTTGGAGGTTCATTATACTATTCTATCTTTTTGTGTCTGTGTGTTTGGTAACTCCTATAATCAAATGTGTGTTTAAAAAAACTTGGATATATGGATTTTAATCAGAGTTTTGGAGTTAATATTTCATACACTGAATTCAATGACTTAGTGATGGACTTTTTCATAGTAGTGAAATAATTACACTATGCTTCTGAAAATGTCAAATTGCATTTAATTTTTTTCTATATTTTCTGCACTTGATAAAGCTCTGATTGAGAGGAAAACAGATAAGACCTTGCAGATATAAGACTTGGGTTTGAAACCACTGTGGAGCCGCCTCTCCCTCGTGTCTGCCTTAAGTATGCATAGTGGGACAGAGATGCTTGTGGCCGTGCGGGGGGAAATGAAGCTTTCCACTAATGTTGTTGCTATTATCATTTTAAGCATATTTGAGGGCAAAGCTAGGAAGGAGCCTTACAAGGTAGGAAGTCTTTGTATGAGACCTGGTAGAACAAATATTTGAAAATTAAAATTGGAAACAAAGGTGTCCCCTTGTGAAGATGCTGTGGGGTAGATTTGTGAACTAGACAAACATGCATATTGCCACCCACTGCCACAGGCTCAGTGAATTATTGCACACACTTAACATATCTGAACTTTCTCAGCATTCTCACTTAACAGGTGCTGTTGGTTCTTTCATAGAGCAGCCCATGGGACACCCTTTTTTTGGAGGGGGAGCGGTGTAAGGATGAATCAGAGATTGTGACTGTCATGAAAACTTATTTGAACACCATAAAAAGCAAATATTCAATAACAGTAAAAGAAAATGCAACGAAGAATAAAGAAATAATATGCAACATTTAACGCAGTGCAAAATACGTTATTTTAGAGTTTCTCTGCCGTTACTTCTCAAGGCAACAAAAATAACGGGCTGCTCTGTCTTTCCTCACCAACCACCTCATCAGCTAGTATCAGAGAGAACAGGGCCCCAGTCACCAGCTTTTGATCACAACAGGGATATTAGTTGAAATAGCTGACACAGGAAGGTGACTTAATGCACAACCTTGATATAGAGCAAGGAATCAAAATGGAATTCTTGTAGAATTATTTTGATAAAATGGAATTTTTGTAGAATTATTTTGATAAGTTAATTTGGAAATACGTATGATCCTAATCCTAATACGATACCCTAAGGAGGGTAACGCAAGGAAGGCTTAAAAATGTTCATCTTTTAAACATGAATTCCAAACTATTTTTATTTGACATGTGGAATTGTTAAACAGGTAATAGTATTCTGGTCATATACATTTCTTAAATAAGGCTTCTTTGTATTTGATCAAAATGTGCATGGTACCAGACTGTAGTTTAGCCTTTGTTCAAAGACATGCAAGTATTTAGTATTTACACTAAATGGATAGCCTCAGAAGAATAGTGAATACATTCCCTTAAAAAGTAAAAGAAAAAAAATTATCTTTATGGTGAACCATAGTATCTTTATCTCCTAATGTTTTAGATAGTATTAATATTCTTGAACCTCCATTGGCTTCCACATTCTCATGCAAATTTCTGGCTTGCTTTAACACAGCACTCCAATTTCTGTTGGCTATATGACAGGGCATACGCATGTTAATTGCTCTTTTTGAAAATATCACCAAGCAGTTCAGAATACCTTATTTATTGACAATATCATGAAAATCAGGACCTTATATCAGCCAAAGATAACAATATGGAATAGGGCAGAACTGAATAATGAAATGTATGAGATTGTCATTTTCATCTTGAACCATTTGAAAATGATTTCTACTTAAGCTACATATTTTAGATAAGCACAGTTAGATATAGATTTCACTAATGAAGAAATAAACACTTTTCTTCTTTTAGCTCAGAATTCCTTAGGACTAAATGTTAATTGATATGCATTTTATATATAATATGTACAGGCTTTGTAACCAAGGGTCACACAACTAGGGCACACACGTTAGTTACCTTGGTTTTCAAGGGTTATGTGTCAACTCTGCATATTATATGCCAAGGAGATACTATCAACATTATTTTTTGCATAATGTGCAAGTATGATATGGCCACAGAGTGTAATACAAATTAGTGGCAAAGTGCTGAGGGAAGGGATCCACGACAGACTCAGATGCACAAGGTTGAATATTACCCGTAAACCATCTGACTCTGCTAAGGCCTTACCAGCACAGAGTGCCAAGCCATGCCCAGCTTTTAAAAGCTTCTGAAATACTTGGACACAAGGAAGCTTGTGCAAGGAATTCCACCACAGCCTCTGGCAACACTGGGACTGGTGGGAGGGATAAATGACACCCGGGAAGCAACCTGGAAGTTTCCTCAAACCTCTTGCAAAATGTACCATCTTCCCGAAGAACAATTTTGCTCACTCCATCATGACCAACGTTGTTTATTGATATGTGCTTTTTATTTTTGGCTTAAAATATATTAGCAAGATGATGCTGCATGAGTTAAAAAGAGTCTGAGAATTTTATTGTCATGTTGATTTCTTATACACACTCTTCAATTTACTGAAAATGTATTTTTAAAGAAGTTAAGAGGTTAGTGGGAAAGAAAAAAAATCTTATTTGCAACCCAAATTCCCCTTAAAAAGGTATTACATCTTTGACTCCTTATACTAGGTATTGTGCTCATGATAAAAAAAAACAAAAAAACAAAAAACCAAAAAAACCCTACTCTCTGTTCTAACTTTTCCCTTTAAAGTCAGAGAAGGTAGGTTGTTTTCCTTTAAATTTCATAGCATATTTATTTACCCTATTTTTTTAAATATATGAAATCTTGTTTCCATTTGAACTCAAAATTATTTTGCTAAAATGATTTTCTGAACCCTAGTAATAAGTTAGAATGTTTAAAGGTGTTTTCTCATTTAATACAAAGATGTGATAACTTTTTCGACATAATTTTAAGTTTACAGCAAACCAGCTGCCTCTGAAGTAGTTCAACTGTGCTTCAAAAGTAGACAGTGACTTTGAAAATTAAATTGGGAGTTTTCTATGATCCCATTTTAGTTTCTTTGTTTGGCATCAGAGGAGTCCAGCTGCCCTCCAAGGAGCACATCAGGGTCCAGGGAAACGAGGCAGGAAGAGACTGGGTGATTTCAGAACCAAAGGAACCCAAACACCCCCAACAAGTAGAAAATCTTAAAAAAGCGGCAGGAAAATATAGTGAACGTGAACAAAAATAACCAAAAACTGAGACACTGGCCCTATCCTTTACATGAACATTAAGCACACCTCACTTCATATCCTGGAGTTTACTGAGCTTTATGCTGCAAGAATTTTGAAGTGCATGTTTAAATTCCAGATTTGTTATTCTTATCTTCTTCATAGAGTTCTTGTAGTTATGACATACACAACCAAATGAGCTCAGAGTTATTAACTTGTATTTCATTTACAACTCAAAAAATATACAGTGCTTACTAAGGAGTTCCTGGACAGAAGGTCCATTTTCCCCCTACTTATGTTAGTTTTAATGGCCTTTAAAAATGTATATACACCAGCTTTAAAAAAGTGTTGCCATGGCGGGCATATTGTGAAGTAAGTGCAGATGAATCTATTCTAAGTGCATATCTGCTAGAGCCTGAATTGATGTCTTTGTTGGTGGGTCTTTTGACCATCCTCCTAATCAAGTAAAATGTCAACCAAAAACAGATTATCGTCTTCACTGTTTGACTTAAAAAATGAGCATGTGTTCGGGATTTAAATTTACAGTGTTTCAAGTGACTTTTAAAATTGCTCTTTTTCAGATCTGTAAAAGGTCAAGAAAGTTTTAACATGCATCTTACTGAGAGGGCCAGTCTTGGACTCTGTGTTACTTCACATAAGCAGACAAACCCTACCATGTCATACCATACAAACAATTTTAATTGTGTAGTTACAGTCAATAACCACTCCTAATCAGAACATTTCTGCATAAAGAAAATTGTGATACACTTATAAAAACAGCCAGCTGTAACAAAATAGCTGGTGTTTTCATAGCCATAAACTCATAAAAAAGAAATAACACCTTTATACAGAAATTTTATACAGATGTAGCTTTAAAATTGATTGTAAACCAAAGGAAGACACGTTGCAAACATCAATTATTTTCACATTAATTGCATAATTTTCTAAGGTGATCTATTAGTTTTATTAACCTAAGCTTATTTGCATGATAGTAAAAATTGCATACAACAATAAGAGTGAAGCTTATAGTATGAATTGCTTGGATAACATAGAGCACTTTTTATAGGCAACTGTGTAAAGCACATTTTATCTATTTAAAACTTTTAAGACACTTTGTTTTACTGCCCATCAAAATACATTTATAAATAGAAAAGAACCAGTATGGTAACAAGAGAAGCAATATTACATTTAACGGAAACTTCCAAAAATTAATTACAACATGATGCTGCAGGATCTACAAATAAATAATGAGGACTAAATTGTGTTTCACATTTTCTTTTCATTTTTTAAAAAATCTTGTAACAATGAGAATGAAAAAAATTACAGTGAACTTTTATTTCCAAAATAAAAACAAATTTGAATTACGGCAGTGCCATATAATACAAGGCATTTGTTGGCATATGTCATCTTCAAACTGCATTCCACAGTCTATAGTTCTTCTGCAACATACAATAGAGTAACAAACTCTTTTTCTTTTTTAAAACAAGGGGCGAGTTTCCAAAGATAAGTGTGAAGTGTTACAGAAACAAAGGAAGGAAATGATAATCACAGAAGTTATAATGCTTGTTTTGAGGCTCCAGAATAATAATTATAAAATTAAAAAAAAAATCACTGGTTATCATGCTTACGGGCACACACACCCGGGTGTGTTCCGTGAACACAAATTTTCCATTTTTAATACCAAACAATCCGATGCTTCACCTGGGGCTGCCAAGCAGTTCGTAAGAGAGAGGAAAACGTTTAGTGCAGTCAGTGTCAGCCTTTCTCGACGTTCCCGTTTGTGCAAGTTTCTGACGACTCCCCGGCTGGACGGCGGGGCGGACCCCGGCCGGGGGCGCGGCTGGGGGCCCGCAGCTCAGTCCCTGGCGTCGGCGCTCGCGTCCGTGCTGCCGTCAGCCGCCGGCTCGTCCTCGAGCTTCACCGCGAAGAGCGGGCTGGCGCCCGCGCCCGGCGCAGCCTCATCCGGGTCCGGCAGCAGCTCGTCGTCCTTGTAGTCGGCCACGTCCACCTCCAGGCCCGCGTGGTCCTTCAGCCGGCCGTGGTGCTTGAGGTGGTAGCGCTGGTTCTGGAAGAACTTGATGACGGTGTGCTGCGGCAGGTCCAGCTGCGCCGACAGCGTCTGGATGGCCTCCTCGTCCGGGTGCAGCCCCACGTCCTGCATGAAGCTCTGCAGGATGCCCAGCGCCTCCACTGAGATCTTGGTCCGCGGCCGCGCCTTCGGCCGGCTCTCGTCCTCCGCCTCGGCCGGCGCCGCCGCGATGCGGGGAAACACCGGCACAAAATCAGCGGCGCCGCACGTGCCCGGCCCGCGCGCCTGGCCACTGCGCGTGCCTGGCCACTGCGCATGCTCGGTCCCTGCGCAACGCCTGGTCATTGCGCGTGCCGGGCCACTGCGCATGCTCGGCCCCTGCGCAACGCCTGGCCACTGCGCAGGCCCGGCTCCTGCGCAACACCTAGGCACTGCGCGTGCGGCTTCGCGCGCGGCACACAGGGGCCTGGAAGGAGCGAGCACATGACCTGCCGGGATCGGAAGGTGGGGACGGGTGCCGGACACAAACGCAGGCCAGCTGAACGGCCCACCGCACCGGGAAGGTCAGAACGATCGCTAGGAAGGGAGGACCGGGGAGGGTCAGGGTGGCTGCTGGGCTTCGTCGTCAGAGGTCAGGCTGGCTTACTTACACGGCTGAAACTCAGCACTCTGAAAGGGTGAGCCACGTCCACCAGGAGGATATGCCTCCGACGTGAAGACAGCACATTGTGATGTCAGTAATTAATAAAGATTTTAAATGAAGACGGAGAAGTGAAGTGTGCCGAAGGCAGTTTAGGAAGGTGAGCTGCGGACACACTGGGAAGGAAATGTATTTCGTCCCACTGCAGCAGATGACTGAAACGTGGCCCTGGCTTACAAGGTCTTACGTTCCCAGTAAAACGGGGAAGCCTCTGCTTTTCTACAGCATTCAAAGTGAAAGCTGCTCAGCCATGTCCGACTCTTTGCGACCCCATGGACTATACAGTCCGTGTAATTCTCCAGGCCAGAATACTGCACTGGGCAGCCTTTCCCTTCTCCAAGGGGTCGTCCCTACGGAGGGATCGAACCCAGGTCTCCTGCATTGTAGGATGGATTCTTTACCAGCTGAGCTATGAGGGAAGCCATTAGCTCCTGTGAAACCAGAGTGTTTGAGATTCTCACGTTTGTGAATTTCCTACCAGTTTCATTCTAACAGACACACATTTCTTACTGAATTGCACTGGGCTGACACTGCAAGATTTTTTCTTACTGAAAAATAAAGGTTTCATTCACTCCACAACGGCTAGCAAATTGTTCTGTCTATACTAAGCTCAGATGTAATCAGGATTTAAATTTAGTGTATATAGACACTTTTTCATAATTTGTATATGTGCTGTAATTTTCCATACACAATTATACATAACAAATATATCACACACACACACACACACACACACACACACACACACACACACACACACACACTTCAGCTCCAGGATTCTTATCAACAAAGGAAATCAACCTAAGGAAGCCTAAAATATTAGAACGTTTATATTGTGCCCTAAGCATTTCCTTAATCCCCCTAAGAAGCAATTTTATTAAAAACAATTTACATTTTCAAACAAGTACTTTTTTTTTTTTACTTATCTTTTTTTGTTTTTGCTAAACAGTACATTTTTCAGGCTTTCATGATTATTTTAGTGCTTGATATCCTAAGGGATTCTCCTTAATTTATCTTTAACATATACTCAAGGATTCTTTTTCTTAGTGGATGGATAACCTTATTTTTGTTGTGTGTGTGTGTGTGTGTGTGTATCACCACTCCCCCCACCTCCATGCCCCCACAGACACACACAGCAGTACCAAGAAATAACGCAGGTGATTCAACAAAGAGTGTAGAATTTTAAGACTCAGGAAAGCAATGGCATTTTCCCTTAAAGGGGAAAACTAAAAGCATCCCTTTGGATGTAACAGAAATAATTAGTACAGCTCACATTCAATTCTAACAGGTTTCCTAAGTCATTGAGGTCAACAACTAGCTGGGCCCAGACCGTCCCCATCTAAATGAACTGGGGATGAATTCAGTGGATCCACTCAGTGGATGAATGGAGACAGGTCCCAGGGTTTGGAAGGGAGTAATTTAGGGGAGTCTGAGGCTGACCCTGTGGGCGCAGTGTATTTGGCCAACACCACTGTTAGCGTGGCCTTTCCAAGGCTGAGCATCCCGACCAGGGAGCAGGTCTCAGCACCAGCCTTCTGTGTGTCCCCCTCTGGCTGGCTAACCTGTGCCTGCTCACCTGTGGAGCAGTGCCAGCCTTGGGGCCCAATGCCTCTAGACTCTCCTTGCCTAAGGGTGGTGGGAGAGGGGCTCTAATGGAAAGACAGACAGACGTGACTCACCCCTAACCAGTGCTCACTGAGCCTGCGGCGACAGACAGACCTAAAGTGAAGCCAGGGTTGGGGAGTCGGAAGCCAGATGCCAATTTGGTTTCCGTCCCCTCCTCTCTCTGGGACAGAATCCAACGTATACAATTGTGATCCTACAAACTTCCTCTGCAGAGACAGCACTCATGCTTTTCCTCGGGGACAGGATCGGTGTTCATGAAAAAATAGGTGGTGTGTCTAAAAATTCAAATTTTGCTGCAATGCGGGAGACCTGGGTTCGATTCCTGGGTCAGGAAGATCCCCTGGAGGAGGGACAGGCCACCCACTCCAGTATTCTTGGGCTTCCCTGGTGGCCCAGCTGATGAAGAATCCGCCTGCAATGCGGGAGACCTGGGCTTGATCCCTGGGTTGGGAAGATCCCCTGGAGAAGGGAAAGGCTGCTACTGCTGCTGCTAAGTCGCTTCAGTCGTGTCCGACTCTGTGCGACCCCATAGACGGCAGCCCACCAGGCTCCCCCGTCCCTGGGATTCTCCAGGCAAGCACACTGGAGTGGGCTGCCATTTCCTTCTCCAATGCATGAAAGGGAAAAGTGAAAGTGAAGTCACTCGGTCGTGTCTGACTCTTAGGGACCGCATGGACTGCAGCCCACCAGGCTCCTCGGTCCATGGGATTCTCCAGGCAAGAGGACTGGAGCAGGAGCCATTGCCTTCTTCGAGGGAAGGTCTACCCACTCCAGGATTCTTGGGCTCCCCTGGTGGCTCAGCTGGTAAAGAGTCCGCCTGCAGTGCAGGAGACCTGGGTTCGATCCCTGGGTTGGGAAGACCCCCTGGAGAAGGAACAGGCTCCCCACTCCAGTATTCCAGCCTGGAGAATTCCATGGACTGTATAGTCTATGGGGTCGTAAAGAGTTGGACACGACTGACCGACTGTCACTTTCAGTATGACAAAACAGAGTAAGGTCTCACATAGTTCTAATGAAGACTGGCTTGCCAAAGAACAGTGGAAGGGGGTTCCTGCCGGGGGCGGGGGGGAGCATAGAGGAACACAGCACACGTGTTGGGAAACCCAGGTCCTGGCAGGGTATCGTCATCTCTTGCTCAGAAGCCTATGTTCAGACAGGGGGAAGGAGAGAAACGCCCCTTTCCCTGCCACGTTTAAGCGTCTGTTTACCGCCTGCTCTATTGCAGCGGCCGAGGTGCACGAACCTGAATCTGCTCGGCGGGCACGTGGATGATGTGCGGCGGCCGGTCGCCGTGGTGATGCACCGCGTTGCTCTCCTGTTCGTAGATGGCATCGCGTTCCGGCTGGGGGAGGCTGAGGAACCTTCGGATCATGGAGAGGTTCTCCCACAGGGTCCTGTTTTCTGGAGAAGGGTCTTCTTTCCAGCGTAACAGCTCACACAGCCACCCCTTAGAGACAAGGGCGTTAGCAGGTCAGTTGAGGTCCAAGAGGGGGCGGGTGGGGAGCTGCCGGTTCCCATTAGGAAGTAAAAAGGAAGGACCCTGTGCAGTTAACTTTTTCTCAGCTCAAAACACTCCCAATATGCTTAAAAAATTTTTTTAACCTGTTAAAAGAGAATAGGTGTGGTTATTGAAGAGGAGGCAGGTTTTGTCTTTTAATACACAATTCAGATTTGCATCTTAAAGGAGGGCCCTATTTTTCAGACTCCAAAGGCAAGACCCATTTACCCTAGACTCTGCAGAATGTGCCCAAGGAGCAAGGCTGCGTGTGCTTCTGGTCCTATGAATGGCCATATGAGATTCTGAAGATAATATTTACAAAGGGCTGGGATAGCTTTTTAGAATAATTTCCCCAAAAGGATTCCCTAAGTTTATCATTTTTGCATTAAAAAGGCAATTCTGTGAATATTTGTGTGTGTGTCAATGTATGTGTGTATGTGTAGAAAAGGGAGAGAAAGGATGTGTGCAGTTGTGTGAGCAAGAATGTCATCCAAGGTAAGGCTTTATGTTAGAATGAGTATTAGAAGAATTCTCCAATACAGAACTTTCCAGAAAGACACCTCAGAGTCCTGCCTGCAGCTGTGCACACACATGGTTCATCAGGTAAGCAGTTTCATAGAATCCCTGGGCTGAGGGAGACGATGTCCACTGAGCGCCGAAACAGCAATGTCTCTGCTGCACTCCAAGGCCGTTTCTGATCCTGAGATCCTCAATCATGAACTGAGTGGTCGAACGTGGGACAGTGGGACTGATATCCACACACAAGTAATAGGTGCTGGGCTGGAGGAAGCACTAGCTGGAATCAAGATTGCCGGGAGAAATATCAATAACCTCAGATATGCAGATGACACCACCNGACCTGGCGTGCTGCAGTCCATGGGGTCGCAAAGAGTCGGACACACCTGAGCGACTGAACTGAACTGAATACTGTGTATAAAGTAGGCTGACTAATGAGCACCTACTCTGTACGCCAGAAACTCTACTTGATGCTCTGTGGTGAGACCTAAATGGGAAGGAAATCCAAAGAAAAGGGGTGGGGGGGATATATGTACTCATAGAGCTGATTCACTTTCTGTACAGTAGGAACTCACTCACCATCGTAAAGCAACTATGCTCCCATAAAAACTAAAAGAAAAAAAGAGTGTCCCAACGAGCGTGCACTGTCTCCCGTTCTTTAACCACCATCTCAAACCTCGTCTGGGCCGCCACATGGGTACTGAGCAGCAGGGCGGGGAGGCGGAGGGGAGGGCCGGCCCACACCTGCTCCAGCTCTCAGCTCAGAGATGCTCCAGAGAAGCGTCTGCAGGCCAGCTCACCGGGACGCCGGCTGCTCCTCCGCCTCCTCAGGGTCCCTCTCCCCCGCCCACCGGCCCACGGACTGCGCCCTCCACCCTCGGCTCTCCAGACGTGCCCCTCCCGCCTGCTCACCGCTGGGCCGTGAACGCAGGCTTTTCCTGAGGCCACGTTCTTCCTGGACTCGCCTCCGCTTTCTTATCCTCCCTGCCGGGTCCCTCACCAGATCAGGGGCCTCGGATTCCTTACCTTAGCCTCTGCTTTAGGGAAACTGACCTAAAACAACGGGGTTCCTTAGAAACTAGTTGGATGGGAATGCAAAGAGGACAGGTTAGTATCTGATTTTTAGAATTGGCAAACAGGAGTTGCCTTTTACATGACTTTAGGGTGAGATCAGAACATGGCATGACTTTTTCTTTCTTTTCCAACGTGAACCACAGGAGAAATTCTCTTCTAACTGTAATACACAGCGGAAGAAGCCCCCAAACGGCCTGAGAGATTTTTAAAGAATAGCTGGAGACTCATACACTAGCTTCCCGAGACCCACCGACCACCCAGCCAAGGGTGACAGCTGCTAAACCCCATGAGCCCTACTGACCCTGACTGAAGCCGAGGCCTCTGATTCTCCACGCCACACACCACTTAGACATGGGCGTGCCTAGGGACAGTCATGCAACTGTGCACTCACTTGATGCCGCCGTGTGCATGATCCCAGGTTAACAGAACAGGCGGTAAACTGAAGGTTTACCAGAAAGAATATTAGCTCAATAAAAAATAACCATGACGGCGGCGCCACTGAACATGCTTCTCTTCTAACCATGGCAGCTGTAGGCTTCTTTCCACAATCAGACCATAGGTCACATTTTTGCTCTTATCTATGAATGCAACATTAACTACAATTTGAGTATTTGAAATATTTGAGACCCACTTGCATAGGGTGCCCTGGAAATGTTTGTTTAGCTCCTGCTGACAAATATTTGCTGTCTGGATTGAGCCATGGAAATATTTTATACTTTCCTACATCAAAAGTTATTGCTTTATTCTTCACTTCTATATTTTGATGCGAGGCAAGTTTTAGATCTGTCTTCCCGAAGGAAGGCTTGACTGTTAACTCTGGTTTAGATCACACCCCTGCCCCCCCCCCCCCCCTCCTTAACCGGGGCAAACGAAAAGCCCCCCGGCCCAAAAAAAAAAAAACAACAACAATTTAATTACCTTTCAAGAGATGCTAGAAGGTTCATCAAGAATACGTTCTTTTTTTCTTTAGGTTTATACTCTTGTAATAAGTGCTAAACACTGAGCATATAAGTCTTTTTTTTTTTTTTTAAGAAATAAATGCTTGTAACCAAAAATTGCTAAAAGTTAAACTGAGAACAATTTACGTAAGAAAATCTTCTTGAAGAAAGCTGAAGCACTCCAATAATTTTTTTAATCCTTTTAGAAACTTTTTAAAGTAATGCAGATATCAGTTAGCACTTGGATATATGTGGGGGGGAAAAAACATGTGGATCACAGATGTTCTTTGGAAAGGAAAATCATTAGTTCTTTTAAAATGGCTAATAATGATAGCTAATTCCCAAACAATCACACTCATGCTGGTTTCACAAATATTTCAGAAAAAGAGTCTTGACTTATTCAACAAATATTTTGCTCATATTGTCACTTCTGTGTCTCTATACTTATAAGACAGATTCTTATTTTTATTAATTGCCCATGACTAACATAACATTTCCAGTAGTTTGCTATTAACCTTTGCCCTTAAATAATACTTCTAATTCCTTATCTAAAAATAATGTGATGAATTGTAAATCTGAAGCATGTCTCCGCTAGCCTTTCAAGAGACACGATGATTTTAAGAGACTGAAATCAGATGCTTCTTAGAAAAATATTTAACGGTGCAGCTGGGAACTGTTAGTTCTACAAGGGTATTCCAAAAAACAAAGATGGGGGAGGGGCAGTGTGCTTTTCTCTTGATATGTGTCGCTCTCAACAAATAATGGAAAACAGACATTCTGACAGGCTAGTTCTTTGTCAGCAGAGAAATCAGCTGGCTCATTCCCAATTTACACTGGCAAAAAGATTAATTTACTATGATTCCATTTAAATACCTTGGAATATTCTGACTCCCTCAAATCCTATCGATCAAGATGATGACAGTAATCTGGTCTATGTTTTGCAGGAAGTGACGAGAAGCACCAAAGGCTTTCTAATTCCCCAATACCTGTCCCGAGGTCACTTTTCCATAAACCATACTGTTGAGCAAATACACTTGGGAAGACAATATATGTCAGAATATAGGTAACATGTGGCAAATAAAAATAATGATTTCCCTAAGTACTATATTGGTTCTTTTAAAATGATACATGTATAGATTTACTGGGTGGAGGAGAGATGGTAAATAAAATGCAAGCACTTTGCTGCAAAATGTGAACATAATTACGTTTTAAGCCAGGTCTCCGGGACTTGAAATAATGTAAGAGGGGTAGGGAACTGCTGTGACAATTAAATTAGATCACAACTGTTCTGAACAGTAGAAAAGACAGGAGACTAACAGCCTTAAAATAATGAGACCGATCTATTCTCAGAAAACTAAAATGGCACAAGGAACAACCTAAACTTTAAATGTAGTAAATTTGCCAAGCAACATTACACTGCATATAAAGAGGGCAAAATATAAACAGTAGCCACATGTAAATAAATTAGTCAAACTTTCAGGATGTTCCTACTTTTCAAACTGACAAAGTTTAATTTGACACCTTCTGTTCTAAACCCTTTGTTTCTATTCAAAATCACGCCTTGAGCTGTTGCTATCAATCACAGCACTCCCCCTATTACTTAAAAAAACTGGCATGGACCCTAAACAAGCTGAAAATGCCATGCAGATGAATTCTGAGATAATATGTTCAAACCTGTTATATACAACACAAATCGTGTAAAGTTATGTATTGTAAACCTACATTTATTGAGAACTAAAAGTCTTAAATCCATCTGCCACAAAGGAAATACTGTTATGTACTTTATAGGAACCAAGAACCATCTGTAAATGTCTTGCCACTGTAAGCAAGAAACTGGTACAGAAGATGCTAAACCTCAGACAGCATGAAACCAGTAACAGTCTTTGGACTGGCTTTGGTTTAGGGAATCTATGAAAGACATGGAAGATGTGGGGAGGGTAAAAGGGGCAAAAAAAAAAGGAAAAGAGAAAATGCGGAACGACTGCCAACCCACTGCTGCAGAAAAGCAAAACAGATTCAATGACAACACAACGGCAGTTTATCATGGTCCATGAAGCACATGACTGTACGCTCATTTTAAAGGAAAAATTAGCAGTTCTGAACTCAATATTCTAATGATGTGCTTTACCGACAGAATCTTGTTGTACCACACTGAAATAAAAATCCTGGCACCTTCATCTCTCAGCTGCTAATTTCCACCCAAACTCAATCTCTGATTTCCATTCTGCTCTTTTTAGAACAGTTAATTCAAGTCGATTCCCTTCTACCATTTTAATGGGTAAGGAGTATGCAATGATTTTTCACTGAGTCAGGAAAGCAACCTCCTTTCACAAATGAATTTATTGTACCTAGGGAGCCTCACATACATGAAAAGAGACCCCTGGCAAGGCCGGGTCTGTGACAGTCAGGAGCACGGAACAC